CCCATGAGTTCCACTGGATCTGGTCTCGGCCTCTCAGGTCCTGGCCCTCTTGTGTGCTATGATGACAGCCTTTCAGGTCCTGGAAGAGCCCCCCTGCACCTCTCCTGGCCCTCCTCCTCACTTCTGCCTCCCGCAGGCACAGTTTTCCCGGCCCCCAAAACACCTCCCTTGCCCTCCTCGGAGCCCCTTCCGCTTTGTCTGCATCAAAGATACCCAACTTTTTTTTTTTTTACTAGGAACTACCAGTAGCCACTTCCCGCTACGCTGGGTGTGATCAAGTTTTCCTCTGCTCTAGAAATAAAATGTGGTTGAAGAAGAGCACCGGAAATTAAAGCAACAGAGAAAGATCATATGGGAAATCATATGAAAAAATTCTGTTGTGTTTTTTTAAAAAAAACCTCCTACAGATCTTTCACAATCTTTTTCTGAGCCTCCCGGGGCCGCACAAACAAAATATCCAGCAGCGGCCAGCTAGCTACCAGTCGTTCGCAGTAGCCAAGAACAGGCAAGAGGAGAGCTCCTGATAACACACAAAGCTGCCTTTCCAACTAGCCCCACCATGCTCTCCTAGGTCTCAGGAAGACCCAGCTCCCTGCCAGGGATCGTTTCAGCTGGGGGGAACTGAACCCAGGGCCTTCTGCAGGCGCTCTTCCACTGGGCCGCAGCCACTTCACCTCCAGGTGAGACGTTCACGTCACAGAATGCAACAGATCCCCACCCCCAAGAGTACACACTAACTATATACATTAAAAAACCTACCACCGTTCCTTTCCCCCCCTTGCTGTCAAGTCACTTCAAAGGTGGTTTTTGCCCTTGCCTGCCTCCACTTCACGGCCCTGGTATTCCTGGGTGGTCTCCCTTCCAATTACTGACCAGGGTCGACCCTGCTGAGCTTCCGATGAGACCAGGCTGGCCTCGGCTATCCAGGTCAGGGGCACAGTCCCCTGGGGTCCCACAAAACGGATTTCCAAACACACCCTCTCCTGTGCAGTTCTGCACACAACAATCCCCTTGCAGACACAGTCTAACTGGCCTGGAAGCACCAATACCTGACAGTGGAAACCTCAGCAGATACAAGAACCCACCATGAAATCCAACTTGCAACAGGGAAGCAGGGGTGTGTGTGTACACACCTCTGTACAGATGCAAAAATCACTGCCTTACAAAAAAACTAGCCTTCTCCCCTCAGCTCTCTTCGCTTTTAAAGCCCAACAGATTCCAGTGGAGGGAAGGTGAAAGCAACCAGCTTATCCTTCCCACTCAGAAATCAAGAAGTCTTCAAAGGGCTCAGTTTTGACCAGATTTTGCTCTTCTTCTCTTAGAGAGGTTGGAGAAAACTCCCTGGAGACTCTCACCTGCTTAACAATAGCCCTGTTCACAAGTTACAGCGAACTTTGATACAATCCGTGCACAGTGTACACCTGATTGCTCTCTGTATGTGTACACAATCATACTTATGTGACATTCAAGGCACACACTGCTGAATAGCAAAGTTTGGATCCTTTAAGACCAACAAATTTTAATCCTGGGTATAAGCTTCATAGGTGGAGGGTGTATCTGAAGAAGTATGGTTGCACATTACAGCTTATACCTGGAATAAAACTGTGTTGGTCTTAAAGGTGCCTGACCGGAGTCAAACTTTGTTCTGTTGCTTCAGACCAAACTTGGCAACCCACCTGAATTTAACTACGAAATGCTGCTATAGGAAGAACTTGTTATTAACCGGGGCTGGGGACTGGACAGCATCCCCCTCCCCCCCGCGGGAGCCGATAGGGTCTGCCCCAGAGCGAAGCAGAAAGAGGAGCTGCAAAGGCAAGCGGCTTTAACGATACCCGCTGAGTCCTCCTCCCGCTTCCCTGCATCCCCTTCTAAGCCGCTCGGGGGCTGCACGTGGCGCTTCTGCCCCCCCCTTCCCCTTTTATCCTCACAACCATCCTGCAAGGTAGGCTCGGCCCCCCCGCCCGATGGCCAAGCAGGGATCTGAACCTGGAAAGGACCTGCGCTGGCCAGGCATTCCGCGCCCGCCCGCCCGCCGACCCTTTCCCCGAGACGTCCCGCTCACCCTCGGCGCGGCTCCAGGCGCCCAGGCCGGCCAAGGCCCAGGCCAGGGCCAGCGTCAGCGCCGGCCCGGACCACCAGCGCCGCCGCAGCGGGCCCATGGCGGTGTGCCCCGTCAGGGCCGCTGGACGCTCGGCACGGCGGCGGCTACTGCTGGCGGCCCGCGGCGAGGCCTCCTCCTCATGCCTGAGGGCGCGCCGGGCCCTCCTCCTCCTCCTCCTCCTTCAGCGCTGAGGGGACCGCGAACTGCACGGCAGAGCTGAGGCTCCCCTCACCGAGCGCCTCCGATCCCGTCAACAAGCGGCGGCCCCAAGAAGGCGGCGGCGGCGGCCGCCAAGGGGAGGAGGAGAGGGGCGGGGAAGGCGACCGGAGGGCAGGCCCCGCCGCAGGCGGGCGGCGGTCCCCTCGCGCGCCCATTATTCTTGCGGCAGCCCTCCTCTCTCTCCCACCCCCCCCCGGGTTTTGACGGCTGAGGACGGGAAAGCCGGGCCTTGAGGGAAAACGACACCAGCAGGGGAAAGATCTGGAGGGGCGGCCCTGCTACTAGTCTATCTGCAGCAGGAGAAAAGAGCGAGAGCCCAGCAGGGGCACCTTCAAGACATTGATGAACAAAAGCAAAACACTATTGAGGCAGACTCAGCATGCGTCCTGTAAGGGAAGATCTGGTCGCACTATACCTGTTAGTCTTCTTTGAGGGGGTGAACAAACATGTGGACAAGGGGGACCCAATAGATGTTGTTTGCCGTGACTTCCAGAAAGCTTTCGATAAAGCTCCTCATCAAAGCCTCCCAAGGAAGCTCAATAGTCAGGGGATAAAAGGACAAGTCCTCTTGTGGATCAAAAACTTGGCTAATTAAAAGGAAACAGAGAGTGAGTATAAATGGGCCATTTTCTCAGTGGAGGGTGGTAAGCAGTGGGGTACCACAGGGATCAGTATTCGGTCCGATGCTTTTTAACTTGTTTATTAATGATTTGGAGTTGGAAGTAAGCAGTGAAGTGGCTAAATTTGCAGATGACACAAAGTTGTTCAGGTTGGTGAGAACCAGGGAGGATTGTGAAGCACTTCAAAGGGATCTGTCGAGGATGGCATCAACATGGCAAATGGGGTTCAGTGTGGCCAAGAGCAAAGTGATGCACATTGGGGCCAAAAATTCTAACTATAAATACACGTTGATGGGGTCCAAACTGGTACAGACTGACCAAGAGAGAGATCTTGGTGTCATAGTAGATATCTCACTGAAAATGTCCAAACAGTGTGTGACTGCAATAAAAAAGGCTAACGCTATGCTGGGGATTATTAGGAAGGAAACTGAAAACAAATCAGCCAGTATCATCATAATGCCCCTGTATAAATCAATGGTGTGAACTCATTTGGAGTACTGTGTACAGTTCTGGTCACCACACCGCAGAAAGGATATTATAGCATTGGAACAAGTGCAGAAAAGGGCAACTAGAATGATAAAAGGGTTGGAACACTTTCCCTATGGAGAAAAGATAAAGCGCTTGGGGCTTTTTAGCTTGGAGAAACAACAGCTGAGGGGTGACATGATCGAGGTTTATAGTATTATGCATGGGATAGAGCAGGTAGAGAAAGAAATACTTTTCTCCCTTTCTCACAATACAAGAACTCGTGGGCACTCAATGAAATTGCTGAGCAGTTGGGTTAGAACAGATAGGAGGGGGGAGGAGGAGGAGATTGGATTTATACCCCGCCCTTCACTACCCAAAGATGTCTCAGAGCAGTTTATGAACTCCTTTCCCTTCCCCACAACAGATACCCTGTGTGAGGTAGGTGGGGCTGAGAGAGTTCTTGACAGAAACTGCTCTTTTTTCAAGAACAGCTCTTATCAGAACTACGGCTTGCCCAATGTCATCCAGCCAGGTGCAAGTGGAGGAGGGGGGAATCAAACCCAGTTCTCCCAGATTACACGCACTTAACCACTACACCCAAAGAGTAACCTTCTTCGCCCAAAGAGTGATGAACACATGGAATTCACTGCTGCAGGAGGTGGCGGCGGCTACAAGCATGGATGGCTTCAAGAGGGAATTAGATAAACATATGGAGCAGAGGTCCATCAGTGGCCATTAGCCGCAAGGTATAGATAGGAACTCTCAGGCTGGGGCAAGTAATGCTCTGTATTCTTGGTGCTGGGGGGGGGCAACAGTGGGAGGGCTTCTAGTGTCCTGCCCAGTGTTCCGTCTAAGCCGAGTTAGGGTGAGCTAGCTCACATTTCTTTAGCCTCCGGCTCACTTATTTTTGTCTTCGCTCAGGAAGGATGGCTCCAGAGCAAGCTAATTTGTGCTGTGGCCCAATTGCTCGCTCACAACTTTAATGCCAGTAGCTCACGAAGTAGAATTTTTGCTCAGAAGACTCCACGGCCTAGAGGGAGCATTGGTCCTGGCCCCACTGCTGGACCTCCTGAGGGCACCTGGTATTCTTGGCCACTGTGTGACAGTGTTGGACTGGATGGGCCATTGGCCTGATCCAACATTGGCTTCTCTTATGTTCTTAACAATATTTGTGGCAGGGAAGGAGCTTTCGTAAGTCACTGCTCACTTCTTCAGATAGATCAAGACGGGTGGCCATGTTAGTCTGTCCACAGCAGGAGAAATGAACAAGAGTCCAGGAGCACCTTCCAGACTAACAAGATTTGTAGCAGGGTAGGAGCTTTCATGAGTCACCGCTTACTTCTTCAGCTAGACACAGATAGGAAGCCACATTAGTCTGTGTAGCAGGAGAAAAGAGCAAGAGTCCAGGAGCACCCTCAAGACTAACAACTTTTGAGCATCTCTGAGGAAATGAGCAGTGACTCTCGAGAACTCATACCTGGCCACAAATTTAGTCTTGAAGGTGCTACTGGACCCTGGCTCTTTTCCCCTGCTACAAACAGACTAACAAAGCTACCCATCTTGATCTGTCTCCATGGAAGGCACCACATTTAGCCATACAAAGTGGAAACCCATCAGCCTTGTGATAGAAGAACTAAGCAGTGATTCACAAGAGCTCCTCCCCTGCCTCAAATTTTGTTAGTCTTGGAGGTGCTCCTGGACTCTTGCTCTTTTCTCCTGCTACAGACTCACACGGCCACCCATCTGGATCTATTGCCATGGAAAGCACCACAGTTAGCCGTACAGAATGGAAATCCATCAATCTTGTGATATAAAGGACAGATGGACTCACATTCTAGCTATATCTCGAGAACTGAGCAGTGATTCACAAAAGCTCCTACTCTGCAGCAAATTTTGTTAGTCTTGAAGGTGCTCCTGGATTCTTGCTCTTTTCTCCTGCTACAGACGAACATAGCTACCCATCTTGATCTAGCTGAAAAAGTAAGTGACTCGGGAAAGTTCCTACCCTGGCACATATGTTGTTCTTGAAGGTGCTCCTGGAATCTTCCCCCTGCTACAGGCATACTAACAGGTGACACATCTTGATCTATCTCTCTGGGAACTTTGTTGGTCTTAAAAGTGCCACTGGACTTAAACTTTGTTCTATCCTCTGGGGAAATTTTGTTGGTGTTTAAGGTGCTTCTGGACTCAAAGTTTTGATCTGCTACTGAAGACTAGCCCTGCTAACACACCAGAAACCAAGCTAGTTTGGTATTTATTTATAGCTTTTGTTAACTGTACATTCAAGGACTTCGTCTTTCATTGAGTGCCAAGAACCACGGGAAAGATGGCATTTAACAGAAACAATGCTCATGCTTTTATTACAACTGTAATAACATTTTATAATATACAAAAACAATTTAGCATAAACACTTTTTTTTTAAAAAAAGGGGGAGACTGAACTAGAAGTACTGAGGGGGAGACTACACTGTAGGGTTCGTTCCAAAGACTCCACTTAAGCACACTATTGCCAGGAGGAAACAAAAAACAAGCACCCCTTTGGGAATTTCACTTCTCGCCTAGGTGCCCTGCAAGAGAGATGGGTCGCCCAACAACTACACTGGCTGTGAAGTACTCAGCCTGGTCTCCTTGAAACTTCGTTTCCAAGCTACCTGTCATGCAAAGGCTGCAAAGACAGAGACCCTCTAGCTGCAAGTTCAGGTCCCCACTTGGTATGTTGAAAGGCCTCAGTGATCTCCCTACTAGATCTGCACTGAGCTACCACAGGAACTGAGAGCCGCCCCACCCTTGTGGCATGTCCAGGACCAAAGGACACCGGATGTTGGTTCTGCAGGCAGAGCTGTTCTAAAGACATATGGTCAGCAAGGTGTTGGCAGGACCAGAACCATCTCTGCTTTCAGGTAACCCAGTAAGGGCCTAAACACACAACAGCCAGCCAAAATCAAGCAGGCCTTCTTCTCAGCAACCCACTAAACTCCCCCAGGCGAGGAAAAGCAGTCCCGGACTGGTGCATCTGTAGAGCTGGGCCTCTCTCTAAGCCAGACTTCTTAACAAGAACCACCAAGCCTTTAAGCAAAGCCCTTGGGCTGGGTCACAGCAGCCTTAGCCAGGAGAGGAGGATTTCGGAGTTCTTGCTGCAGATGAGAAAGCTCAGGCCAACAGCCTGCCGGTCTTTCCTCCACAGCTTGCAGATGAATACTGCTGTGGCAGACATATCCTGAAGGACCAGCAGGAAGGCTTGCCTAGTTCCATCAGAAGGTGCCCTTTGAAGGATGCGCACAAGGGACAGGATCCAACGAATGGGGCCTTTGACCCATTGGAACACCCCTGAGAACCCAACGTGAGGCTCCACCAAACTCCCCTTCCTATTTATTTATAAAAAATACATGCCACCTCTCTAGAGACCTCCTGAAAGCTACCTATAAGAACAAGGCAACAGTAAAATCATAGAAAGCAGCACAGGATGTATCAATATTAAAGTAAAACCTTTCCACCTTAATATTCATAAACAGTCACCAGATGCAAAAAAAGCCCTATAAAAACTAAAAAAAAGATGGAGCCCTTTATGTAAAAGTCTGGGTGAAGAGAAATATTTTCACTTGGCCCCAAGACACAGTAAAGTAGGCCTCAGGGAGGAGAAGAGTCCAAGGAGCTACCCACCGAGAAAGCCCCGTCTCTTGTCACCAGATGCCTTACCTCTGTTTGGTGTAGTGGTTAAGTGTGCGTTCTCTAATCTGGGAGAACCGGCTTTCATTCCCCACTCCTCCACTTGCAGCTGCTGGATGACCTTGGGCAAGCCATAGTTCTGTCAGAGCTGTCCTTGAAAGAACATTTCTCAGAGCTCTCCCAGCCCCACCTACCTCACAGGGTGTCTTGTTGTGGGGAGGGGAAGGAGTTTGTAAGCCACTCTGAGACTCCGAGTGAAGGGTGGGGTACAAATCCAATCTCTTCTTCTTCTGCAGGACTGGGGGAGAAGGATCTCTATACTGAACACCTCCAGCTATGCTGAAAAGGCAAAGTTTACAATGTATTGGTGAAAAGGAGTACACACCAGTGAAAGGATTCACTCTGCCACCAGCCTTGGTTCATTGACAGCTGAGCAAACCAACAGCAGTGAAAGCTAGTGGGATGCTGGGGGCGGGGGGAGAGAAAGGATGGCCAGCCCTTCATTTTTACAGACAGTCTTATGTACACAAAGGCCCAGAGTTTTAGATATGCATGGAAGGGTTATCCAAGGGGCTGGACCTTTTTTCTACACTGCTCAGACATTCTGGATATACAAGATTTGCCCCCAAAGGAGAGTTTAGAACAGTGCAGAGTCAGACTGCAGAGCACCCCATTTGCATTATCAGAAACCAAAAGAACCACATGACTGTTGTGATTTCCCAGGTCCTTCACTTCTTTCCTTACAGCTCACCCATCCTCCAGTCCCTTTGACAGTGGCTGTCTTAAGGTGGGCACCACTTGTCAGCCTCACCAGGCGAGGGAGAGGGGAATGTGGCTCAGTGACAAGAGTATCTACTTGGTGTGCAGAAGGTCCCAGGTTCGATCCCCAGCGTCTCCAGTGAAAATAATCACGCAGTAGGTTATGCGAAAGATCTCCGCCTGAGACCCGGAGAGCCACTGCCAGTCTGAGTAGACAAGACTGAAGTGGAAGAATTAATGGTCTGGTTCAGTATGAGGCAGCTTCCTTTCCTAGAAGGTGGGGAGGGAGCCACGTTGGGGAATGGTGCTCTGAAGAGCCACCTGTGTCAAGGAGCTGCATGTGGCTTCTGAGCTGTTGAGCATCACTGGTGTAGAGAGTGCTAGTGGTGTCTTTTGTTATTGAGGACATGGGGCATTCCCCCCCACCCCCTTTCACATGACAAAAAAATCCAGGCCTCTGAGCCGTTGAGCATCACTGGAGTAGAGAGTGCTAGTGGTGTCTTTAGTTACTGAGGACATGGGGCATTCCCCCCCCCCCTTTCACATGACAAAAAAATCCAGGCGGCAGAGGAAAACCTGAGGCCAGAAGACACCCACAAGAGCACCTCTGAAATGAACTGTTAAGATTTTTGTATCTTTGTCATTTCACAGACTGAAGCCAGCTTCACAGAATCATAGAGCTGGAAGGGGCCACACAGGCCATCTAGTCCAACCCCCTGCTTGCCTCAGAGCCACCCCCGTCAGCCTGAAATCTCAGCCCTGCCGGCTAAATTTGCCTAGTAGTCCACCCTGTCAGTACCACAGCAAGGAAGCTAGTTTTATTATTTATTTACTTCATGTATACCCTGAGTCCCATCTGGCCTCCTTGGGACTCAAAGCTGTGAGGAGTTCCCAGGGCAGAAGCCTTGCTGTTCTTTTCCTTCTACCCCCTCCTCTCTATAACAAAATGATGCCATTAGCACTCTCTAAACTCTCTGTTTGGGGCAAACAACAGTCACAATTTACGCATGAAAATGA